AGGACAGCAGGGAACACAGCATCAGTCATGCACAACCCCCGCTGCCCCGGGCCACACCAGCACTTTCCTGGGCACCTCCCTGACACTTCTGCCCCCTGCCCTCATGCCAACGCCAGGAGGAGGGCTCACCACGCCCACTGTGCAAGTGACACCAAGGCTGGGACACCTGGGACATGTGAGCCCTTTGGTTTCTTTGGTCTAAGTGTGGCAGGTGCATCATGATGCAGGGCCAGCCACCTCGGCCTGAGGGCGGAGCTGAGGGTGGGCAGGACAGCCAGGGCCCAGGGCCGTGACCAAAGCCACCAGCTGGATGGTCAGAGGGGTCTCTCCAAGGAGCTCTGAATTAAGCCTGGAATGAGGAATGAGAGGGTGGCAGCTATGTTAAGAGCAGGGAAAGAATTCCAAGCTGAGGGGACAAATGTAAAGGTCCTGAGGTGGGAAAGAGTCTTGCTGGCTGTCCTATCATGACACTGAGGTGGCTGCTATTTGGGGAGAAGAGTACGGTGTCGATGAGGCGGGTGGTCAGGAGGTGCTGGACCTCCAAGGCACTCTGGCTGTGGGGGGCGGGGGGCGGTTTGCACTCCCCTCCAGGAGCCACGGGAAGTCACTGTAGTGTTTGATCAGGTAAGAGATGGCATCTGATTTGTTTTTAAAGGGCCCCTTTGGCCACTCTGTGGAGCCTGGAAGGGGGGGTAGAGTATGTGCTAGGGTGGGGCAGGGGGGCCCCGGGGGAGGCTGCTATGCCACCCTTTATGCAGGATGGCGATGCTTGGGCTTCAGGGTGGCAGCTGAATAGAGAACTGGAAACTTTGGGGTGTTAGGAGGGGAGCCCAGTTGCCTGCCAGTCCCGTCTTCACTTGTTGGATGACTGTGCCTTTTTGGGAAGCTGCTCAGCAGACTCTCCTCCTGAGCCAGCTCTGGCCAGGATGCCCCCAGATGGGCCTTTTGTGACAACATTCCTCCGGCCAGGAGGGGGTCCAGGGCCAGGCACTCCCGGAGGCGGATGCTGGTTCTGGTCCAGCTAGATGCCCAGCCTGGTACCAGCCTCCCTTCTAACAGGCTCCACTCCAACCAAAGCCGGTGATCAAGCACCAGTAACCCTGCTTAACCAGGCCCCGTGCTCTCTCTGAGAGGTGTGCAGGGCTGGGTGGGTGCCTCTCTGCAGAGCTCCCCTGGATAGGCGGCCATGTGTCGGCAGCACTTCCTTCCTCTGCTGGGTCTTGCTCACACCCTCACCTCCTGCCCCCGCAGGCCTTGTCTGCACAGCCCTCACCTGAGCCTCAGACCTTGGAGTCGGGGAACGAACCGCCGGCCAGGAGCCCCAGCGGGAGCCCACCGCCTCAACGGGGCTCCTCCACCTGGAGCTGCTGCCCGCCCTGGCTCGGGGCGCGCCCAGACACGGCAAAGCTGCGGAGCTCAGACACGGCAAAGAGCGCCAAGGCCCCACCGGAACCAAACGCCTCATTTTTTCTTCGCTGTGTGGAAATGTAACTCATGTACCATAAAATTCTTCATTATAATGTGTACAATTATACATTATAATGGCCACATCAGTGGCTTTTAGTATATTCACGAGGTTGTACAACTGCCCCCACTGACTCCAGAACAGACACATCCCCACAAGGGGCAACTCCTTTAGAGTCACTCCCACAGCCCTCTTCTCCCAGGCCCTGAGGGCCACTGTTCACTGTCTGTCCCTGCGGCTTTGCCTGCTCTGGACCTTTCATCTAAATGGCAAAAGGCTCACCCAGGCCACATGGTTCAGTTGGTTACAGCCATCATTCCATAACTGAAAGGTTGCGGGTTCGAGTCTCAGCCAGGACACATGCCTAGGTTGTGGGTTCCATCTCTGGTCTGGGAGCATACAGGAGGCAACCAACTGATGTATTTCTCTCTCACTTCGATGCTTCTCTCCCCACCCCCACCCTTCCTCTCACTCTAAAAATCAACAGAAACCTATCCTCAGGTGAGAATAAAACAATTTTTTAAACTAAAAAAAGTTAAAAGTAAACAGCGAGAGGCTCAGCAGCCTTCCAGGCCACAGTGGAGCCCGTGGAAAGGGGACCACAAGAGCAATGAGGTGCCACGTTCTTCTTCAGATGAGGGTTCACACCGGTCCGCCAGCCCTCACATTCAGGAGCCTGGGTTCCCCTAAGGAATGATGCCTCACTCAGCCCAGAGCCCCTCGAAGTCCGAAGTCCGGCCAGGACCAACTCACTGCCCCCACCCCAGGTCTCCGAGCAGGGAGAACACAGCCAACAGGAGGAGCGGCTGCCGCCCTGGGCCAGCAGCTGCTTGCATGCGCACAGGAGATGCCTGTAGACGCCGGCCCAACCAGACGAAACGAACTGTGGCCTGACTCCCCTTCCCCCAACAGTCTACAAGAAGCCAAGCCCCGAAGAGAAACAAACCTTTTTTGGGGAAACCTTTCTCTTTGCCCCATGGCAGCTGCGCTTGAGGTGGTCGCTTGGCCCGTTGCTCCTGGCAAGGTGAGAGCCTGCCAGTTTCAAGGTGCCCAGTGTGCAGCCACATGGATGGTCCACCCACACAGAGGCAACAGGGGTCCCCAGCATGGGCTTCCCCACTGTCTAGGGGCTCAAGGGACTGGTCGTGAGCCCCTCAGCTCAACTGCTGGCCACCTGGACTCTCTCTGCGAGGGCCGGCAAGGCCTGGGCAGCGTGGCATCTGCGCAGTGAAGACGCACTCAGGAAAGCCCCGCTTTGAAGAAACCCTCCAAAGGCAGCTTTTCCTCTGTGCCCTGCAAGAGACTCCAGACCCACTTTAAGAGAAGTTTTTTCTGATTTCAGACGCGTGAACCCTGAGTCACAATGATAAATGTGCTCCCAAAACATGGGGACAATTAACTTTGCTTTTTAAAACCCGACCGTAGTTTAAATGTCTACATAACTCAAGTAACACAAGCGACTACTCTTATTTGGTATTTGCTACTATCAAGTTTTCTTTAAAGAAGCTCCACTACATTTGCATATATCTTCCTCATCCAGTGTCACCCCTCCTTAGGCACTTGCCTCTGTCCTTGTCCCCACCCCCTGGAACAGCTGGCACAGGGGCACCGAAAGTCAGCCCCAGAGCCTGCCCTCCCTGTGTTCCCAGAGGCCCAGCAGCGGGAGGCTGCGCTGAGTGGGGCGCAGAACCAGGGGACTCGCCCTTATAGGAGAGACAGAAGCAGACAGATGCATCTGCTGTGTCTTGCGAAAGGTCCTTATGTTGAAAAGAAATGGTCTGGGCCCGGGTGTTGTGCTTGTCCCTCCGCACCGCGCTCTACCCACTCCCCCACCCCACCACCACCCTTAGTACCACCGGAGTGAAGGAAAGGACACCAAATGGTCTCATCACCACGCCCCTACAGAGGACGAGACCCTCCCTCTCCAGGCACTCCCCCACCACTCTCCAGGCCATGAAAGGAGCTTGGAAACACCGCTTTTCCTTGCACCTCTATGGAATCACAAGCAGTAGGAGGGGAGCCTGCAGGCCCTGCGAGGCCTGTTCTGGGCCAAGGCCTTTGGTCTAATCATTGCTACCAGTGACTCCAGCCCCCACCAAGTGAGCAGGCAAGCAACTCACCCGCCAGTGGTGGGTTATGTCATTGTGGCCCAAAATCAAAGGGTCTGCTCCTACTGGGGGGCCCCAAAAACATTTTTATTAAGGATCTGCTCCTGTGGGGTGGAGGTCTCTCAGGAAGGCTGCCACATCAGGTGGCAAGGTCAGTGGGCAGGCCCCCTCCCCCCCAGACTTGAAAGGAAGCAAACATCTAGATAGAGCCACCCCAGAACAGAAAGTCAGACCGAGAGAACACTCCTCCAATACGCTCCTTCTACAGGTGAGGAAGCGGGGGTCCAAAGGGCAAGGAGCTCATGTCCTGAGTCAGCTGTGTACAAGGTTTTCCACCCTTAGTTTCTGGAGTGAAGCCTCAACTTGTCTTCTCAGCTCCCACTACCTTCGGCATGAAACAGCTCTCGGAACCAACTGTCCCCATTCCGGGTCCGAAACAGCCAGGCAGTCACCCTCCTGCCTCTGGGTGATCCCACCACTAGCCATGTGAGCCTCCCCCAGGCAGGCTCCACCTGCACTGGGCCTATGGTTGCACCCAACATCCATCCACTGGAGTCCCCAGCAACTTTTCATGTACTCTAGAAGCTCTAACCTTACCCCACCTTGGGCTAGCTGAGGGCAAGTGAAACATGAATATGAACCTTTTTTTAATACTAGTACAGCTTAACTGCTCCAAAGCACTCAGAATAGGCTCTTCACACTTGAGGTCATCTGCTCCAATGGGCAGAAAAGCATGGTTTGTAATGATCATGAAATCTTTTCAAAGCACTGAATACTTAAAGGTACCGAATTTGCAAATTCATTAAACAGGCCCCTTACCAACACTATGGAACCACCCTCGAAACCTTCGTGGTGTGTTTGAGACCGAGCCAGCTTCATAAAAACCCACTTTCCATACATGGTGTCCTGGGCCTTTAAGGGTGCACTCATGCCCACATACAGAGTGAGTACAACACCCACAACCGGGAGATCTCACACCAAGCAGCTTCTCTGCTGGTTCCTCCCAGCACCAAGGCCCAGGACTCTGGGCTTTAGGGAGAAGGCTAACTACCAAGGTCACAGCTTGGACCACACTATGCACACTGCCCTTGGGAGCCAGGGGGTGGGTCTCAGCTCAGAAGTTTTCCGAGCAGACTCCACCCCAGCATCACCTGGTACCAGGATGGAGCCTGCACCTGCCGTGAACATGCTGGGAAGATGAAAGCCAGCAGCTAGCGGAAAGTGGGGTGCCCAGGGTCAACCTCCCCCCTGGACTTCAGCAAAGTTCTGTCTGGTTCAGATCCTACAGGGCAGGCACAGGGAAAAGAGACCAGGACAGTGTTCTCATGTACCTATTTGGTAGTAAGCAAAAGTTACTTCTTGCCCCTGCCTCACATATCTGGGCAAAGACGTAGCAGGCACCAGGATGGGTTGTTGGGGCCACTTACCAGCGTGGGTTGCGGCTGGGGGTGCTGCCCGGCCCCCGAAGGGGGTGGGTAGTGCATGAGCAGATTGAAGGCGGAGTAGACGGTGTCTTTGTACATGCCGCTGGCGCACTCCGGGGCCTTCAGGCCTGGAAAAACCACAGCTGGGTCAGACTCGCCAGCCGGATGGCTCAGGCTGAAGGCTGGCTGTCTGCTCTCTAGAGAAAAGTAAGACTTGCCAAGGGGTCCCCTTCGAGTTCCTGACTTGAGAAAGAACAGGATGGGGGTGCCCGCAGTGCCAAGTTTTGATGAAGAACCGAGTCCAGGCCTCCTCTTGGCGACCCCTACTCGACCCCCGCCCAAACAGCCGGCCAAAGAACCTTGGCCAATGCTTTCTCCCCAAGACAGGGGATTAGTCAGTCACCTGGGCAGGAGGGGAGGCGGAGATGGCGGGGGTCTGTTTACTCCTATAAAGGTCAGGGCACCGGAAGTGACTCGAGCACGGAGGCGCCCGGGAAACCCGCCCCCACTCCTCCCACCCCCTCAGTTTTACCGCCTCCCCGAGCTGCAGCTGGGGGGGGAGGGAGCCCCTGGGCTCCCTCCCTCCCATGGGGGACTGGGCCTTAGCGGGTGGAGGGGAGCCGGGCAGTGCAGAAACTCACCGTCCTCCAGAGATTCTGTAAGTTTGTCAGGGAAAAGTCTCTGCGAAGTGTGTTCCCGCCCGAGAGCCTGCGGGGAGATTGAGGGGCCGTAAGGGGCGCAGGAAAAGCTGGGGACTCGGGGCTAGGGACAGGCTGGGCTCTAAGGGATGGGGACCCCGAGGGCCGCGGCCCCGGGGAAGGAGCTGGGTGCGGGCCGGCGCTCACCTCGGCCCCGACCTCAGCCTCGCCGCGGGCCCGGGCGCCAGCCCCTGGGACCCCCGCGCCGCCCGCCGCGCCCTCGGACTCATTGACTAGCGACGATTTGAGCTCGGCCAGGTCGCGCTCGGGGCCCGCGGCGCTGTCGCGGCTCTTGTCGTCCTGCTCCTCGCCCTCGTCTTGGAAGGCCAGCAGCTCGTCGGGCGCGCCGAGGTCGTCGCCACCGCCTGCGCCGCCCCCGCCCGAGTCCAGCTGCGGCATGGTGCGCTCCGCCCGCTGGGGCGCGGGGCGCAGGAGTGAGGGGCGCGAAGCCGGCCCGGGAGGCGGCGAGCCCGGAGTCCGGACCTCCGAGCTCGGAGCGCGGCGGGCGGAGCGCGGGCTGACTCCGCCTGGGCGGGCTGCGGGTGCTGGGCGCTGGGCGCGGGCGCCGGACTCAGCGGCTAGGGGAGCTGGCGGGTCCGAACATCAAAGGCGCCGCCGGCTGAGTGCGGGGGGCGGGGCGGGGGCGATAGGGGCGGGCCATAGTGATGGGCGGGGCCAGGCCGTCCCGCCCCGCCTCTCAAGGGAGCGGCGGGGACACGCCCAGTGGGTATAGTCTTAAAGGGCTCGCTCTCCCTGTTGTAACGAGAGAGGCGTTGGACTGGTCGACTTTCTGGACGACTTTGAAAAGCGTCACCTATCTCCTAAAGTGCGGGGACTTTAAAGGAGACTCCGACCCTACCTCCTCACCTGGGGATTCCCGCCCCGCGCCTAGAAGTCCCCTAGGTTCTTTGGGTGTCCTGGAACTGGAGCCAAGGTGTGAACTGCCTCTGTGCCGCCCCCCCCCGCCGCAGCCCCCTGCCACCCAGGACGTGCTGGGCTTGGAATTGGGGATTTCCTAGAGCTTGGGACTGCTCAGAGGCCACCCCGGAGCCGACAGTATTAGGCCTCCTCAATGGCCCCATTCTCCAAACCTACGCCGGTCAGGGGTCGGGTCGCCCACTCAGCGCAAACATAAGGATATACCCGCCACACGTTTATTGAGCGCCTGTTGCATGGGGGGCTCATACATCACATTTGTGACGGTCTCTCAGCCATGTGGTGGCTCCGAGGTGCGAACACAGCCTAGAGGACTTGGAGGACGGACCCCGCCCCCCCCCCACCATAGGGATCTTCCAGTCACGTCCTTTCCCTCCCACGACTGTCCCAACTCATTTCCACACCTAGAGCCTGCGGCCCGGTGGTGCCAGGCTTTGGTCAGCCACGTGGGCCGCGGGATTCCGATGAAGTTTGGGTCGTGCGAAGCAACTTAACTCGGGAAGTCGCATTCCCGTGGGGCCCATTGACTGCGGGTCTGTGGCAAGCGGGCCCTCGCAAAATCCAGGCTTGAGAGTCCAGGAGTACAGGGACCGCCAGTTCCCATCGCATCTACAAGGCACCCAGGGTCAAGTCCGCGTGGGCCTCTACAGCAGCTTGGCCTCTGCTCAGCCACTGCGTCTAGGCCCCTTTGAATCACAGTGCAGTGAACCGCAGCCCCCAGCAGGTTTTTGTGCTGGATTCAGTGTAGACGATCCCACCTCTCCCGAGAGCAACTGGGGCAGAAGGTATTTGGGAAGGGAGGGTGTCTTGGACGCTTCTCCGTCTCAGAGTCTCAGGACCCCTGGCTGCGGTGCAAAGTCGGGCCGGAAGAGAGCCGCGCCGCGCCGCGCCGCCCCTCCGGGTCCCGGCCCTGCCTGGCTGGCTGCGGATCAAAGAGGCCCGGCCGTCCTTCTCCGCGTTCAGATCCTATCTGCGCCCGCCCAGCGGGGCGCCTCGGTCCGCTCCCCACCCCCACCTCAGGGCCGGAGTGCCCTCTTCTCCCTTCCGGGGGGGGGCCGGGGGAGGGGTGGAGATGGGGGGTGGGCACTAAGTGCTCAGTAGGGCGGTGGAGACGGGGAAGGCCTTGCCCATTAAGTTCCCCCAGGCAATTTTCCCGGTGTGAGCTTGCTGCTGGGTCTCACCTCATCCCCTCTAGAGTGGGGGGAGGGGCTCTAGCCAGACTTGGCCCAGTCCCTCGGCAGAGTGCAGGAGGAGGGGCCCTGGCCACCCCCCACCTCAGCCCCTGAAGTTGTAAGGTCTGGCATTGGGATAGTCTCCTCTGCTATAGCTCAGCGGGAATACTGATCTGCCTAACCCAAAGGCTTTGGGGGACTTCCGTGGTGTTCAGGTGACCCCAGTTTAGCAGGAGCCTCTTACAGGACAAAGTTCCCCAGACCCGTGAGGTCACAGGGGCCACAGGCCAGAGGGAGCTGAAGTTTTCTTTAGTCCATGGAGAAAGGAGAGAAGTCAGGGCAACAGTGAGTGAGTTTGTTTTTCTCAAGAGAGCTAATGTTTTTCAGCTTAAAGTATTAGCCTTTAATCAGAGATTATGACCTTTCTGCTTTATTGATGTGAAAACAGCCTTTCTATACTGAAATGATGGTGAGAATTGATTTTTTTTTTTTAATGTTCTTATGTGGCAAAAGAAAAACTTGACAACTCTCCATTCACTCTCCCACTCCCAAATTTCTTTGGGCATTTTATAGGAGTCTGAAATCCCAAAGTCTAAGAACCTTATGGGGTCATGGCTCCAACCCCACTGGGTGCAACCAGGGAGGGGGCCGGTGAGTAGGGAGAACAGGTGTATGGAGGGGTAAGGGAAGGAGAGACAGGCTGAGTCTCAGACATCCACAGCCCCACTGACATCAGCCTGAAGGCCTGAGTACCTAACCCGGAGCTCAGGCTGTGGAGAAGGGAGGGGCAGAGGAAGCCACTCGAGGAGGCATTGGCTGCTGGAGAAGCTGAGAAATTGTTAGAGCTAGGTTTGTTGCTGGATTGGTTTATAAGAACCCTGGGCAGAAGGAGCTCAGGCACGGTGAGATCCAGTGGTCAGGCTGGTTTCTTGGATAAGGCAGACTTCGTCTAGGCCTGGAAGGCGATGTAGGGCTTGGAGCAGTAGAGAGGAAAAACAGAGGAAAAGGAGCTTGGGCTTGTCCCCACAAGGCAGGTGCGGGCCCAGTCGCAGCCAGCCCCTTGTCTGGGAGCACTGATTCTGTCATCGTCATCCACATAGTGACTTCCTGTTACTGAGTGATCGCCATGTACCAGGCATCACGTCAAGAGCTTCTCACACATTATTGCATTTAATCATCACACCGACCCTATGACATAGGGATTACTATGCCCATTTATGAATGAGGAAACCAAAGCTCAGAGAGGTTGAATAACTCACCCAAGGTCTCACAGCTTGGAAGCGAGGTTATCAGAATTCCAAACTCAGGTTGTCTGACTCCTGAGCCTGCACCTTAACTTCCCTCCCTCCCTCCCCCCCTCCCTCCCTTCCTTCCTTCCTTTTTTTCTTTCTTTCTTCCTCCTTCCTTCCTTCCTTTTTCTTCCTTCCTTCCTTCCTCTCTCTCTTCTTCCTTCCTTTTTCTTTCTCTCGCCTTCCTTCCTTCCTTCCTTCCTTCCTTCTTTCAAGATTTTATTTATTTTTAGAGAGAGGGGAAGGGAGGGAGAGAGAGAGGAAGAGAAACATCAACTGGCCACCTCTGGAGTCCATACTCACAAAGCCCAACAGGGGACCTAGCCTGGAAACCAGGCATGTATCCGAACTGGGAATTAAACCTATGACCCTTAGGTTTGTGGGATAACCCCCAACCCACTGAGCCACATCAGTCAGGGCACACACCCTAACTAGTGTTCCATTATGACCTCTACAGTTTCAGCGGGGTCCTTATCTACTTTGTGGTCTTGACAGACAAATACTGATGAGTGAGCGGTCGTTAATAGAGTTCCTGCTTTATGGGTGATTCATGCTGCGTGAAGCGGCCACCAGGAGGACTGGGGAATCTCCCTGGCTAGTCTGAATAGGGTGTCTCAAGCCCTTTGCTGGGTGAGAGGGTCCAGAGTACCTCCCTTGAGTCAGAGCAACTTCAACGTGTGCTGGCCCCTCCTGGGCCCACTCTGGACTGCCTGCCCAGGGCACTGACTCAGATGCGGCAGTGAGATAATAGGCCCCGGATTCTTCCACGGAGAGGTGACTAAGAAGTGCTATGGCTGCCCCCTGGATGGAGCCAGGGAGGTTTGGGCCCAGAGCCAGCTTCAGGAAGGCCCCAGAGTCTTCTGGACTTGTGAAGGCCAGGTCAGAAGATTTAGGAAAGGCTGGAGACTTAGCAAGGCTTCATCTTCACGCAGATAAACCAGGCAGGCCGGTGCTGTCCTCGGATGCCGGATGAAGAGCTCTCAAGGACTGAGGGTTGGAACAAGAGAGCTCTGGTTTTGGATTTGGGCAGATCTGAGATTGCACCCCTGCCCTGCCATGTACTAGCTGGGGGGCTCTAGACGACTCACTGCCCCTCTCCGAGGCTCCACTGCCTTGTGGGTGAAACGGGCATCACACCTGAGCCTGCCTTTCCCTGGGGAGCGAGGTGGAGATGAATCACGTACCCCAGGAAAGAACTCAGCACAACGCCTGGCGCATTCCAAGTGCTCTAATAAATGGGTGCTCTTGAGCTAGAAATTTTTCGGAAGTTGTTAGGCTAATTGGCTCTTCATGTAACGTCATGTAAATCATCTGAGTGTTCTCATGGCCTGAGCCCACTTAATCACAGCTAAAGCTGAAAATATACATTTCCTTTCCTTTCTTTCAAGTTCCTTTAACATGAAAGGCCCGCATGAACTCTGACCTTCTCTAACAGGGAGACCCTTGAAATGTAGCATTTCCAGAAGACGGCTCAAAGGAGCCCCAGATGGATTTGGTAAATTACAGCGGGGAGCGGTTCCGAGCGGCGTCTTGCCCTGCCCACCAGCCAGCCGGGCACCCTGTCGGGGCTTGCCGAACTCTGCCTGGAGGCCGGGCTGCCGGCCGGGGCAGGAGCGCTTCCCTTGGGGAAGCCTCCTCTCAGGGCAGAGCCTGGTCAGGCGTCCCAGAGGCAGACTGTGGTTTGTTACTAGAAACACAGTTCGCTCTCTGGAGACTCCGTGTAGTTTCACTGCGTGTTCATGCGTGTGTCCGTGTGTGTGCACGTGGGTGGTTTGGGCCTGAGAGTGGCGAAGGCACAAATGGCCATGATGCCCCCTCCCCCGCCAGACTAGGCAGCTGCCTTACAATGAAGCAAGAAGGGTTTGGGGTCATCTTTCTTTATCATCTTCCGTGGGCTCTCTCCCCTACCAGCCACCCCACCCCACCCCCAGTTTTGTGCAATAGCCAAGAATTGCTCTTCAGATAAAAATTTAATAATAAAGCTAGATGCTAGCTATCCCTGATGAAACCCCAAGGAGTTTGGCCAAACTGGCTTGAAGGGTGGTGCTAGTGAGGTGTCAGAGAGAGCTGCCCCTCAGCTTCGGAGGGCTTGTTAGGGCAATTTCCCATCGTGCCCGCTGCTGTTCCCAATAAATGCAGCTGGGATTTACTCACCAACGGGAGAAGGGAATAGCCCTGGGTTTCCACAGCAAAGGGCCTGGGGTCGAA